ACACGTCTGGCTGTTCCAGGAGAGCAGTTCTGCTCCTCAGCATGGAGGGAAAGGACCGGGATGCATCACCCCAAGGAGCTTGCACCACTGATAACAGCAGAAGTCCATCTCCTCACCTCCTATTGCCTGATCAGTCTTTGGCTGGTTCAGTCCAGAACAAGGTCCTGAAGATGACAAGGGTCTTCTGGAGCTTTGCTTTAAGGTGAAGAATGCACCTGACCTTTTAAATAAAAATGCCTGCATGATACATAACTAGGAATACAGAGGAAAAATGCGTCTGAGCAAAACAGTCAATATATTGTATAACACAATAATCCCTACAGAAGTTTTCTCTTGGGGGATTTTACCATGAAATATTGGCACCAGGACTGCTGGCACGCAGTCATCTCCTTGTGCTGGCAGAGGAGAGAATCAGTAACAGTGGATTTACACCTGACTTTGACATTTTGCAGTTAGCTTTTCATGTCCTGCTACAACCTGTAGCACTAACAAGTACAACCAGAGTGCAATGCAGACACACCATAAAGCAAGTAAAATACATGGACAGACATTTGAACTCTTAGTAAGCCATAGTATATTTTAATACATAGGTAAAAGTTACAGGTACAACAAAGGCATTCCAGCACCAAACTTTTCACCTAAATACTTATCCATTCAAGGTGCAGACAGAACACTGATTATAGACTGAGGCTCTGGATGAGGTGCAGAGCAAGAATTGATCACCAGCTTGTGTTGAGATGAACCAGGAGATGCATCTTGGCTGCTTCCACCTTGCCAGACTTCATCCTGCAGTCACCTGGTCCATGCACTTGCTGAACCCAAGCACTGGGGGCAGTTTTGATTACTCCTATGTGAGAAAGGAGTCTGCTGTCTAATGTGTACCCAAGGTTTCATCTCCCTACCAACTTGCTTTACTTTCATGTATTTGTGAAAGAACCAGACAAAAAATACCAAGGATAACCTGCACAGAGAAGCAGTAAAGAGCAGATGTACAACAACAAAAAACATAACACCAAAATCCCAAGGGCTGGGGGAGAGGTAAGGAAATTTAAAAAGAGGGTATTTACCATGCAGTATTTTCCCATTTTTGCACATCCCATCACAAACCCTGACCCCCAACCTTTTCCCCCTGATCCCTGACCTTTGACACTTGGCATTGCAACCCTTACCCTTTATCCTTGGCCCCTGGCTTTTGACCCCTGGCTCTGGAGCCTGTACGCTGACCCTGGACCCTATCCTGGTCCCCAGCTCTCTGCCCTGTCTGTACCCAGACCTGCTGCTGTGTGCTGTAACCCCAAACCCCGGTGTGTAACCTCAGCCCCCACCCCCTGCCTGTCACTGCAGCCTGTAGGTGCCATCCCTGCCTTTCTGGGGTGCTCGTGTCCTCCTGTGAGGGTTCTGGTGTTGGCCTGGAGTTATGATTGCTCCTGCTGCTGCCGCTGCTGCTGCCACGAGGGCGAAAATGGCATCCTTAGGGCAGTGCCACTTTCTACTGCTGTTTTTAAATTTTATACTACAGAGAAAAATTACAGTCTGGTTTAAACACAGAGGAGCAGAGGAGACGTTTATCCGTAAATAAAGCGGATCAAACCCAGAAAGGTTTGAAATATACCCAAAAAATGTGATTAAAACCAAATAAGGTTAGATGTTGGTGCCAAAAGTTTCTTGTTCAGGTGTGTCTCCTGAAAAGAGGGAAATGGGTGGATGTTTGGGAAATGAGTGAGCTTTCTGGAAGAATGTGGTATTAGGTCATGTTTCATACCAGCCCAAAGCTGCAAGATTCATTAAGATTCAAGTAAGTAAATTTTCTTATTTGAAAACTTATTTAGCCATTGATTTAACTATTAAAAAATACCATTGCCCATAAAAAAAAAGAAAGTGTTTACACTTGAGGTCTGGATTTTCTGTTATTCATGAAAATTGGAACACATCCTATAATTGTGCTATAGAGAGTTTTAGCAGAAACAATTATTCATTAACTTTCATTTGGATTTAGGTCAAAGATCAAAGTCTGCTATCACAGTTTTGATGTATTGACTTTGGCTAATTTTTTTCAGTTTTGTTCATCTGATACCTGCCATCCCAGCTGAAGTCATTGTATTTCAAAAGTAGCTGTGCAACTTCAGGTTTTACCCAGCCAGTGAACTCTAAATTTAGATGTTATGCACTCAAGCAGGTGAATGCTTGCACCTGAGCAGTCTAAATGACTTGAAAATAAAGTCATATATGTATATGATCTTACTATTAACTGGATCAGAGCACAGGTTTCAAAAACTTTGACTCAACTTTTTTTATTCCTCCTCCTGTTTCCAAAAATAATGATTAAATAAGAAAAACAAACAATGGAAAATTCAGTTTAACTGCTAAGAAATTTTTATTCCATTTAAGTGAAGCAATACATTCCTTTGTGAAACAGGAAGAAACATTAATAAGTGTACATTTTTATGTGCCATCTATTCTAATGTGGCAACAGAGAAGCTTGCAAAATTCTCCTGCGTTGTACAATTCAAGTTGAGACTAATTTACTCCGTGACTGATGTTTCTGCACAAGTCTCACAGTGACTGCAGTAAGTCCATCTGATATTTCATACAACTTTAGGTTTTATCTATCATTATACCATATGTACTAAAATACATTTAGTATTTTAGCCTGCATCTGTTTAGACAAGCAGTGATCTTGCTAGCAGCTTCTGAAGCAATGGTACCAACAGTCTATGACACTGACAGCATAAAAGTGAGACGTTGTTTGCACATACCTCAAGCCTGCTAATTTTCTGAGACACACTCACAGCACCAGCACAGTAATAGAACCAAACACATACAAGAGATCACTGGAGAGCCTTCTTGTAGGCTAACAGGTAGAATGCAAAACTTCAGATATGGAGGAATTTGTTGGCTATGACTTCAGGTCTTCCATTCTTCATTCTGCCAAAACCTATGGCAATACCCTGCCTACGATCTTCCCAGTATAAGTCTGTCATAATCTGAGTGCAAAAGCTACTCCAGGACATGTTTCTGTAACATGGAACACCAAATGCATTTTCTATTGTTATTTGCAGTAATTACAACAGTACAAGTCAGGTCTAAGGCCTGGAAGCCTTGAAAGAATACTTGCTTCCTAACATCTGGCTCAAGAAGAAAAGAGATACAGTAGCTGAGGATATCAAATGCAAGAAGAAGTAAGGGCACTGACTGCACAGTTGGTGTAGGAAAAAAAAAATCAGAGAGGCAAGTTCAGCAAAAAAAGTACAAGAATCCAAGATGGCAGGACAGTATGTTTAGCCTAGGACTAAGCCTGCCCCACTTCCCATGAACATAATACATAATTAACATTTGATTACTCATTGTGGCCAAAACTATGCAGTGGATGAAAACCTGACGCTGTGGAGCTGCAAGTGAGCACGTCCCTGTCCCAGTCCCCGGCAGCTGTCCTGCACTCTGCTCACTGTACCAGTCCTCAAATGGAGGAATTGCCCTTGGAATTGCTGAGCTCATTGTAGATGACCTTGGCATGATTCCTGTGCCTGTCAGAAAACTCGGCACGCAGTGGGCACAGAGGCTTTGGCAGCCTGGCTGCAGGAACCACAGCCTGGTGCTGCCCCAGCTGAGCCTTGGTCCCCGGCACCACACACCAGGGCTACGCACAGGCATGATGGGGCTGCACCCCCGATTTCCTGCCTGCTTTCCACAGTAAGGAGGTATGAGGGTCTCTAGCCAGCAGAGCATCCCAAAGAATGGCAGCATTAAGAGTGTCAGCACTGCATTAGGCAGCCTGTCACAGCAGTCGTCTCTGTAACCCACCAGTGTCCTTTTTTTCTCTTTTCCTAAAAATTGCACAGTCTATATCAAAAGCAAGTGTCTCAGTCCTTGCAAAGGTCTAGCACCTTGCAGAGCCTCAGGTGTGCAAGTTTGGAGGCATTCTTCACTCTCTTGTGTTGCTCTGGGTTTTAATTTGTTCTTTAGTGGTGTTCCTGTCTAGCTTGTTGAAAACAAGATTTGTGTTGCCTTTTTTTGTGATGAAAAAAAGTAATTAAAAGCACTTCTATGCTTACCATCAGGAAAACGGGCAAAGAGAAATTATGTCCCGAGATCAGGCAGTGCAATACACAAAACCTGGAAATTCTCTCAATGTTCTTTGCACAATCTAGGATACAGCCAGGGAAATAAACTGAGACTATGAACATAAACTTTCACTCTCTTGTTGAATGTCTGGATGCTATTAGTCTCCCTGGACCAAATATTTCCACAATTATATCCAGAGGAGCACCTGATTTCTACTAATATATATCGATATTATGTGAAGAACAATGTAGTTCAGGTTGTTTTCTATCTTTGAAAGTCAGAGACTGAAAGGGAATACGTGGAGAAATGGGAAAAAAGAGTAAAAAAAGGAAGAGTGCAGTTAGGAATAAAATGCTAGGAAAGTCCTGTGAGCCTGAGCCATAATGTGAAGCACAGATAAAATGAGCACAATTAGTAACCACACATAATGATCTAAGAGCAGATCCTGCAGCAAACACCACAGTACTGTGTGATTGTCACCCCAAGATGATGTTTTACCCACTTTGAAGGCCTCTGGTAAGTGACCTGTAAAAGACATCTGCTGGTTTGTTTTAGAGGAGATGAGAAGAACCTCCTCTGAACAGACAAGTGATATACAGCAGCCAAGGCTTTATTTTTATCAATGACTTGTCAAGCCAGCTGTGAGCATTCACCCTTTCAATCAGACTCATTAATATTTAATCAAGACTGTAAATCTGAAGGTACTCTGAACGCTTCTACAGTACTGTATGTTTTAGCATTTAGCACCTTACATTTTGACATTTAGGTGACCATGCTAATGCTGAGGTAAAATCCAGATTTCTATCACTAAACTTCAGAGGATTGGAAGCTGGGAACCAGTCACTTCCCAGTGAAAAACCACCAGTTTCTTTCCTTATGTTCAGCACACTGCCTATTTAAAATAAAACACAGCAAAAACAATGCTGAGAATTATTTGATTAAACTCTAGTTGAGGTCATGTAGCCATCTGCCTTACTGCTGGGGCTGCTGGAAGCTGCGGTCTTGCGGTGCTTCCCATCGCTGTCCAGAGCAGAGCTGCCAAAACAGGAATGCTGTTCCATGTGCAGATAGCAGAAGCATTCAGCAGCTGACCCTGCTCTCAGTCAGTCATTTTCCCTTCTGCTGGCACCCCCATCAGTGGCAACAGATCAGGCGGCCTCCTTGACCAATGCCACTCGATCGTGCTGCCAGATCTTCCACTGCTCATTTCCTGCAGCACAATCTGAAAGAAAGCCTGTTTCCATGCCTGAGCTGGTTTGGACAAAGATAAATCTGAAGGCTGCCTAGTGATTACTGTATAAACATACAAAAAATCTGATGACCTAACCTAAAAGGCTTCAGTTATTTGGTATAATTAAGTGGAGAAGATGCCAAGAAAATAATTACCAGAAAGTTTTCTTTTGACAAAGTTATGATAGAAATTTCTCAACAGCTTCAAGGAACTCCATGGATGAGCTAAGCCCTTCCAAATCCAGCAGATTTCCCTTTTTGTCATGAAATTGGAATAATTCAGTCTCTTCCTCTTCCAGTTCTTCCCGAAACAGATTGGTCTCTGAGGTAGGAATGATGATGATGCGAGGGACTGCATTGCTAATGAGAGACTCCACAACTCCATTCACTTGACTTCCTTGAGCTGCCATATGGGAGGTACTTGAGTCTCCACTGGTGACACTGCTGCTATTCAATCTGACAGGCAGAGAAGTTGCTCTCAGGGAGCTGGTCATGAGTGCTGCAGAGGGACCAGGTAGGACAGGCTGCCCAAGCACCTTCTCCAAACAGCTCGAGGAGAGTGAAACCTGGAGTGGAGACATAAGATTTAGCATTGTCAGACACCACAGGGGCCGTGGAGAACAGTATTTGGAATATTCATTGCCACTAGTCAATATTTGAGCCACCAGGCCAATTTTCTAAATATTTGAATCATTAACTTGAAGGAAAATCATGATGTGCTAACATGTACTGCTTGGAAAGCAGAATGTTAAATGGAGCAAAAGAAGACACACTCAAATATCAGCAGAGACTGAAAAGAAGAAAAAAAGAAGAAAACAAAAGCTCATACTTGTATCTGACTTATTTCATCATTAAATAATGGTATTACTTCATTTTTAACACATCTCAGGGTGTCAGGGTACTAGACTATTGCACTTCGCTCTCTTCTCATGGAAGAGATCTCAGATAAGAGGCAATTACACTTCATTCTTTATTTTCCTAAAGTTTTGTAAACCTTGTGACAATCTTTGTCTCTCTCCAAATGGCTCCTGTAACTACCTCAGGGAAGTTGGTGGCCTTGAATTCACAGACTGGAAAGTGCTTCGTCCAAGAAAGAAGCAATAAATACTCACTTTGCAAACAATTTCTTATCTGCCTATTTTGAGAGAATTCTGATTTCTAACTTGGCTCTGATGGCAAAGCCTCTGTGTTCTTTCCATAAGTCTTGTGCACAGTATGCAAATTCAGAGTCAACAAAGTAAGCTTTGAAAGTGTCAGTTAATAGTCAAACACACAGGCAAGGGAAGGCATAAGTAGTCAGCTTTGGCTTCTTTAAAAAAAATTACAATCAAGGTGATAAAACCACTGTGTCAGATGGAGAGATAAGCTGGAAGTCCCTCCTTCATAGGGAAAATGAACATTTAAAGTGCAGGTTTTACTTTATTATTCTGTGAATTCCCATAGTTCTGTGTCATTCTACTCCACAAGCAGGAATCATTCACAAATCCCCATTGATAATGATTTCTCCAGCTGCTCTACCTACCAAGTGGAGGGAAGAACACTGTGCTAAAAAATGTGGTTTAAATCAGTGTGACAGAGAAGAAAAGTCCATTCTTCCATATCAAAGGTAATAATAGAATGAAAAAAATCCAACTTCAAAATCACTCCTCCCTGTTTCAAGTGCTGTTTCCACTGCAACAGAAGGATAGATTTCTTTTGGATGTGGCTTGGTGGGCACAACACCCACTTACTTTTTTTTTTTTTTAATAGCTTTCACATTGGGTAATTCCCTTGAAACAAAACCTGGATGCAGAGGGGACATTTGACTACTCTCCTCTGAAATCAAGTACCCAAACCCACATTTTGTTATTTCCAGAAAAGCCTCTTAACTGCCATGTTAAATTTCCAGGTGTCAGCCTACATCAAGTTTGTTACTATCATAACTGAACTAAGTCATGGGGCTGGATCATATCTTTGTGGCAGCACAGAAAACAGTCACATGCATTTTTATGCTTTGGAATGCACCAAGCCTGGGACACTGGCTGGCTTGTCCACAACTGAGTTTTTTTGGAAGTACTCTAATTGGAATTCAGTCAAAGACAATCCAGTAACGCTATTAAAACCTTAAAATAAATATAAAAAAAAATGCATTGGTGCTTCTTCGGGTTTTGTTGGGATTTTCTTGTTTTGTTTTGGGTTTTTTTTTTTTTGGTTTGGTTTTTCTGGGCTTTTCTTGGGGTTTTTTTGGTTGTTTTGTTATGGGTTTAGGGTTTTTTTCTGTTTTTGTTTTGTTTTTGTTTTTGTTTTTGTTTTTTTTGGTTTTTTTTGAGGATAACTGGGTGGTCTCATTGTGAAACACTCTAACTGAGCTTGACAAATAAATATTTACTCTGATAGTATGAACAGTGATGCATTGCATTGAGCTGCAATGAACACACAAAGGATCTTCACAACACACAGGAGCCTCTGCTGAAAACAGTCAGAAAAGCAAATGAGGCTTTGAACATTCAATGTAAATAAACTCCTCATAGCTCAGTGAATGCCACTGAAGGTCTAAAGGGTTATTTATCAAAGCAATTCAAGAGATGTCTTTCAAAGGCAAAGTATAGCACATGAGCCTTCTTCTGGGCTACACATTTGTTAAATTCCAGATATATTTCTTTTAGCACTGAACTAAAAGTATTATGCAGACCACCCGAGATTTACTTCTCTTCTCCTTCCTTGCGAGACTGAAAGCCAGTGATTCTCCAGAACCTGGAGACAATATCCTTTGCCACTTGCCTACAACCTTGGACACACTTGGCTGCTGACAGAAGGCAGCAGAACTAAGGAGTATATTTGAGCCCATGTTGCCTGACACCACATTTGAAGCCGCTGTTTTTCCTCCAATACTGCTCACAACAGTTACAGGAAAAGAACAGCGTTTCTCAGGACTTGATCTTAATGACACACATGAAAGAAGACAGGACAGAGGCATGCAGGAACTGGGTCATTGGATGGCTGGAAATTTTCAGAGCAGCTCCTGCTTTAAGCTATGCTGTCTCTAGAGAATTGTCATCAGATCTGGAAGGGAGCACAGGTGACAGAAGCAGGTGCTGTAGCTGCCCAAGGTGTGAGTGTTTGTCCACATGCACTAGAGTAACCCCATTGAAAGGGTGCCTTCATCAAAAAAGGGGGTGCTACTCAATCCAGCCACAGACAGGGAATTGTAAGCCACATCAGTCTTCCCCTGAAAAGGCAGCACTGGTTTATGCCTGACAATGTGCCACTCATACAAGAACTCATCTGGAAACTGGTGTTACAACCTGGCAGAAGTTGACTCATGGGTGACCTACTGCTCCATCAGGGAATGGGGTGCTCCTCAACAACAGGACACCAAACCACAGTGGTTTGGCCAACGAGGGAGATGCATCCACAGAGGATGCACTGAGTACTCACCATCTCCTCTGTCAGTGAGGGAAGGGTGGCAGCTGCCAGACTCTCCCACCCTTAGGGAGAAATGGGAGTTTCTTTCTCATCTTCCCCCTCAACAAAAATAAAACATTTTAATGTACACTGAAAAGAAGGAAAAGGGTGGCTTCTATAATTTCAAACTCTGTTTTTCAGACTTGACTTTACTCTAAAAGGAGACTGCCACAGTTTGGACACAAGGGCCATGATGGATGGAACCAAATCTGAGGTAGATGAACAGGCAAAGAACTCATCTTCTTACATCTGATGCTATTGACTATGCCTTAATGGAGCTTCAGAGCTATAGGCACAGCTGGCTTTCCAAAAGCAGGCAAATATCAGTGAAAAAAGTTAATTAGGCATTACTGGCACTCTCATTTGTCACACCAAAAGAAAAAAAAAAAAAGAAAGAAAGAAAAAAAAAAGAAAAAAAAAGAAAAAAAAGAAAGGAAGAAAAGAAATAACAGCAAGGAGAAAGAGGATGTTGGAATCAGTATAAATAAAGCCCACAGATGAAATAGATGGGCATAAAGGCTGAATTATCATTCCAGAGATGATGTACTGCAGCAACATTAGCACTAAAATGGAGAATCCTCAGCTCACAGTTTTTTCTATACCTTTTGGGCAGTGACTGCATCGCAGCTGCAGGTCTTTGGGAGCAGGTCTCTCTTCTCTTGTCTCAGACTCGTGGAGAAAGAATTACTTCGGCGAGGCTTCAGTTTCTCTTGAGCTGGCTCCACAGGGTCGAGCTCTACATTGCTCCAGATCTAATCACAAATTGATGAAGGATTTCAGACAGTTGCATCCTTTCTGAAATTCTTGTAAGTTCTCAAACTCTAGCAAAACCCATGCACATTCAAAGAAAACTAAAGCTGTTATAGCATAGGTCTCACACTCAAAACTCCCCTGGGGAGAGGCTTTATTTTCAGTCTTGTCACTTACCCTGGACTATTTTGCTTGCTGACCAAAAATAAAACCAACTTGGAAATAATGAAAATTTATTTAAACTCTTTTCACCAGGATGTTTTTCACTTATTTTTATCTCATTGCTTATTAGCATAAGCAATATGCTAATATGCAAGTAGCAATAAGCTACACTTATACCTGCAGAGCATCTGAATTCTAAAGATGGGAGCCAATACCATCAATCTGTTTAATACGTCTTGTGGCATTCTGTGTGACCACCAGCTCATACAAAACCCTGGACACGGACAGATCCAAAACCATGCTTGCATACATCCCAGCACAATATCCAGAACACCAGGGGCTTCTCAATCTACATGAGCTTGCTGAGTCTACAAACCCTCATTAGTGCATGGGAGACAGTGGGTGGGCTTTGCTCTAATTTTCTAAGAATATGTCAGTAATGAAGCACAAATGGGACATTGCAAAACTGCTGTTCCATTTACAGGCTTGGGGTGAGGCCGTCTGTCATCCCTTACTTTGTGGTGATTTTTTGATGGAGTATCAATGATGAGACCATTCCGCTCCAACACCATCTTTTAGATATGGATAGACAGAGGCCAGACAGGCAGACAGGGCTCCACACAAAGGGGAAGATAGCGCATAATTCCTCTGCATCACATTGCTCATACATCTATGTGTAGGCCCCTGTTCATTTACCCTCACCTGTTGAATAAAACTCCTTGGATGAAATGTTCCTTGACGTGAATCATAAATATGTTTGTTCCCTTCACTAACATGTACACAACACACAGAAAAAAATGTTGGTGGCAACAGCTGCATCTTTTACAGTGTTCCTGGTGTCATTTCTTGCCCATCAAAGTTTTATTGGAGCCTTCCAAAATTTCAGTCAGTCCTGCTATCGTGCCAAAGTCATCAAGCTTAGCTTTGATTTCAGCAGCTGCTGTTTCAGCTAAAACCTCTACAGCTGCACTGAGCTGTCAGTTGCCCCAAAGGACAATTGCCTTTGGCTGCATCAACTCGGCACAGCACAGTGCTGTGCACTGCTAACAGCAGGGGTTTTAAATGAGACTCCTAAGCCAAAAGCTGAAGCCTCTTACCCTCATTATCCTGTCTATTTAAGCAGCACCCACATAGAAATACACGCAATAACCTGCTAACACGAACAAACCAAAACCGAGTAGTGATCAACAGTGAAGAACAGAAAGCTTCTTGGATCAGGATGATGCAGCTGAAATTACTTCATTTGGCATCAAAGGAGTAATGGGAGAAAAATTAGGTTTTTATACATAAAGGTATAAAAGGTATACCTAGGATTTATAATTCTGTGAGAGGTTACTGGTGCCAGCTGTTGCTCTGGGAGGTTTCTGATGCCCAAACTGAGGGGGAGCAGCACAGGTCCCCAGGAGGGCCAGCCCCAGCCCAGACTTTGCCGTGGCTGCCATCCCCCTGAGCAGCCACCTTCCCAGCACCTCTGCAGGCAAGGCTAGCTTCTTGTGACTGAGAGAGGCTGTGAAGAGTGTCAAGGGATTATTTTGGTTCTATCTCAGTCACCAGCCTTACTGATGCTTGGAGTATGTTCCTACAAAACACCCCACCATACTCTAGGGGCAGGAGCCTTTCACTCCTCATGGTTAAAATCCAGGTAAAGAAGTAAAAAATTTCTCATTCTACAGAAAATGGACTTATTCTAAAATAATAAAAGAGCTTTTGGATAAGTTATAAAAGTTTGGGTGAAAGATTGTTTTCTTGTCCTCCAGGCCATCGAGACATCTAACATAGCCAGTAGTTGGTGACACAGGGAGTGTCTGACAATGGCTCTTTTTGGTTCCCATTAAAGACTTAATCTGAACATCCTTGGTCTCAGCAGGCATCAGAACCACACAGATATGCTGGTCTGAATGCTTTTTCTGATCATAAATCATCATGCATGAACTTCCAGCTTTGCAGAAATTACCTTACATGACCAAAAAATTTAGCTACACTCTCCTCCTTCCCTTTTCTGTTCTCTAATTTTGAATATGTATTTATAGTGTTGCTTCTTTAGAGTCTGAGAAATGTTATACTCACTTTCTTTCATGGAAACAAGACAAGACTTACAGCTTCTCCAGTAGAAACAGAGGAAACACAAGTGCTCTTGGTCCTGCCAGCAAGAGAGTGGTGGCTGCAGAGAGAGGTCCTGAACGATGACTCATTTATGGATCCCCTCAGGAGGTCATTCTTTGATATTCGTATCAGGAACCTCAAGCAGGGAACAGCTTTGTGGATGGTTTTTCTGAGGGAAAATGTGAGGGGAAAAAAAAAAAAAGCCAAACCTGTAACACTGAAGACACGGCTTTGAAATTCATGTGGTGAAAATGCTGTCTCTTTCCATCACCTCAACACAGCTTCTGGTTTGATTAAGGGGGTCTTAAAGATTGCATGCAAGCAGCATGGTAGCTGGTGCAAACAACCTAACAGGCTGAAAAGAAAATAACAGGTCCTTCGGGGCCTTGTGTCAAAACACACACAGAAGAGCTGCATAGGTGATAAGAATTGAAAATATCTTGAAAAGCATGATTGCATATGGTTTATTTAAAATGTTAACCCAGAAAATTTCAGGCTAGTTGGTACAAAGGTCTTCACTGTGCAAAGGCACAGAATGAGTGGAAACAAGGGAAGAGGAAGAGGGCCAGAAGAATCAGATGTTGTTAATTATTTGTATCACGACAGCTACTGTAAACTCCTATTGAAAATTAACACTGTACAAGCATTGAGGAGAAGGATGGTCTAGACCCCAAATCCCCCTTATCCATTAAATAATAATCTCAGTCATGATTGTGTGAGTCTATTTCTCCTGACCCCAACTGTGGCCTTGCATGGAGCAGGTGTTCAAGAGCCTCCCCTGGGCAATGCCAGCTGGCCTTTCTCCTCACAGGGCAATGCTAGTCAGAACGCCTCATTTGGTATAACACCTCCCCAGCACTTCCCAATCCATTAGGTTCAGCCCAACAGATGAAGCTAATGGGGACAAAAAACGAAATGAACAAGTCAAGAAGTGAGGCAGCAACAAGGCATATGGCAAGGAACTGATGCAGGGGACCAAGGATTGCTGGGGGATGTCAGTACATTGACTTTACACTGAGATGCAAGTCAAGCAGATGTATATTGTAAAATCTTTTGCTTCTATAGTTACCAAGTTTGTTGAATAACCAGGACATTTTAAATCATTATTTCTGTTCTCACAAAAGATCACTCACGTTAAAATTTCAGAGACATGATTCTGCCATCATGAAATGAGGTCACTTGCTTGCAATCAAAAAAAGAAACCCATCACCACCAAACCTCAATATCTGGCATCATCACCACCCTGAATAGTTCTGCATCTCTTTCCTCTGTAATTTCAAAGGCAAGTGAACTGCAGCTCTATGTCTACTCTGGAGATGAGGACTGAAAAAGCCGCCTGCACCATCATTCCTGATCCTGCCACGATGCCTGTTGGTGACCAGGCAGGGCCCGCTGAACTGCGTGGGGCAGAAGGCGGCTCACATGGTGCTGAGTAAAAAAAAAGATGGCTAAGGTTGTGCACAAAATAACAAGTCCTGAGAAAGGGTTTACAGGACATGAGAAAATGTCAAGCCCCCAGAGATTTCCTTTCAGGCTGAAGACCTCAGTATGGTGCTGAAAAGCAGCTGCCAGCTTTTTTTCCCCAGCTAAGCTGAACTACCCTCTGACAAATTCAAGTTTGTGTAAAACACACCATCCCATTTATTAAATGGGATTTGGTGCTGAGGTCTCCTAATGATGGAGATTCAGGAAATAGATGTCTGATGGTGAATTTTCAAGGAAAACATATGAACATTTCTGAATGTCTTGAGGGACCAGAATTTCTATTTTACTAATATTTGGGAGGAGATTGAGGGACATTTTGCTGTTTGGGATGAAAGTACAGATTTTGAAGGGAGTTTTAATATTGTATGTGTGAAATAAAAGGCATAAACTGAGGTACTTATTTAATGATATTACTATAATCTGAAATAAGAGTCACCTAAAGTGACTCTTATATCGTAAGAGTAATATAGTAATTGCAAGCAACTTAAAAAAAAAATACTGCAACTCGAAGTTATTTGTGATCATTCATTATTTATGATGTAGGAGTTTTGAACCAATATTTTTTGTGTAATTCTGCTTTGCTTGGGAGCCAGCTGGAAACATGGAGTTGCAGAATTTCCTGTTTGCTATGAAAGAATGATTCCAAAACCTAAAACTTCCAAAACGTAAGGGAGTTTCTGCAATAACTCCAACACAGCAATGTATTAGAGTTATTGTGGAACATAGAGACAACACACAAGTTGTTAAAGATGTGAAAGCTTTCTTCCCCGCAAAAGAGCATTTCACAAATTAAAACTCTGAGTACATTCCTCGCTTATATTAGTTTGCTCCTGTGAGTCCTGTTAAGGAGAGGTGTTATTCTCCTTTCTGCTGGTAGGGAATGAGTGGGAAGGGGTGGGTAAATGAGGAGGAATATAACAAACTCTCAAACCAGTTCTTAGAAGACAAGTGCTAGCGCAAATATCACTGTTACATTTTCAGCTACATTCACTATAATGTACTTTTTTTTTCTCCATTGTTTAAGGTAAGGAAAGCCCAAAAAAGTCTCGTTTTTGTTGGGATTTTAAGATGTGCAGTGTCAGGAATTCTCAGTGCAAAAAAGCATCTTGTTTTGCTAGTGGATTGAGGTGAATTTGAACACTTTTGATCCTGATTTTTGGATGCCTCTTTCTAGAAAGATTTGGAAAATAACTTAGATGTTATTTGGTTCAGTAGTTCCAATATAAAATGACAAATGATCTCTTGCTCAAACCCTTAACCCTTTGGCCTGAACAGACTGGCCCATTTTTCTGTGCTTGAATAAATTACTTTCAAGGCATAATGTGAACAATTAGAAGATTTGGAAATTATCCAGAAACAATAACCTTAACATATATATTCATTATTCATTGTTTAAGCAAAATTGGTCCTGCCAACATATTTTTGCCAACTGACTTATTAGTGTACTGTAGGGTTTTTTCAGTTTTGAAACTGCATTCTTGATTCATCACAAGGGACCCAACATTATTTCTTTTCCTGACTGGATTGCTCCCAAGTGCATGAAATGTCTTTCCAAATCCACAACAATTTCTCTTGTTGATATGTCTAGAAAGTGGGGGAAAAATAAAACAAGATAAAAACAAGATACTTATAAAGAAAATGTCTGAAAGCTTGTTGTGGACTCCAGTCTTTTTCTTAACAGTCTTAAGAAGCCAATGCTGATAGGAAAAAGACTGACTGAAGCAGTTCGCTGTCACAGAGCCATAGGATGGTGTGGGTTGGAAGGGATCTCAAAGGAGCCTTAAACACCATCCAGTTCCAAGCCTGATGCCATGGGGAGGGACACCTTCCACTAGACCAGATTGCTCAAAGCCCTATCCAACCTGGCCTTGAACACTTCCAGGGAAGCATCCACACCTTCTCTAGGCAACCTGTTCCTTGCAAAAATAATAAACTGAACACAATAACTTTGGTTCAGAAACAAATAATGGGTACTAAACACATCAGCCAGCCATGCACATGTTCTCATTCAATTTCTACAACCCATCAGAAACTAGGCATTCTCCTACTCTAAATTAAAATGCTCTGCTGACTTCAAAAAACTCAGATGGTTTTTGGAGAATGCAAAAAGGTGTTAGTTATGATAGCAGACATTTTCAAACAAAATATGTCTCCAAAACAGAGAAGCAGGGATTTGACAGACTAGCCACTCAGTGGATAAGGAGTTGTCTGGGTGGTCACACTCAGAGCTGTGGTCAGTGGCTCAGTGTCCAGGTGGAGCTCAGTGAGAGCAGTGACCTCAGGGGTGGGCGCTGGGACCAGCCCTGTTGAACACCACTGTCAGTGACAGGGACAGTGGGATTGGGAGCAACCTCAGCAGGTTGGTGATGACACCAACTGGGTGGTGTGGCTGCCACACTGAGGGGAGGGATGGCATCCAGAGGGACCTGGACAGGCTGGAGAGGAGAGCCCACAGGAACCTCAGGAAGTTCAACAAGGCCAAGTGCAAGGTGCTGTGTGTGGGTCAGGGCAATCCCAAGCACAAACACAGGCTGGGCAGAGGATAGATTGGGAGCAGCCCTGCCCAGAAGGACTTGGGGGTGCTGGTGGGTGAGAGGCTGGACTTGATCTGGTAATGTGCACTCACAGCCCAGAAAGCCAAACGTGTCCTGGATCATGTCCTGCATCCAAAGCAGCGTGGGCAGCAGGGGAGGGAGGGGATTCTGCCCCTCTGCTCTGCTCTGCTGAGACCCCACCTGCAGGGCTGCATCAGCTCTGGGGGCCCCAGTATGGGAAGGACATGGACCTCTTGGAGCATATCCAGAGGAGGGCCACACAGATGATGGATGGCTGGAGCACCTCTCCTCTGCAGATGGGCTGAGGGAGTTGGGCTGCTCAGCCAGAAAAAGAGAAGGCTCTGGACAGGCCTTACAGCACTTCCAGCTGTAAGGTAGTGCCTTTTACAGCACTACCTGAATGAGGGCTACAGGAAAGCTGAACAAGTATTTCTCACAAGGGCATGTAGGGATAGGACAAGAGGGAATGGCTTCAAACTGAAAGAGGAAAGGTTTAGATTGGATATTAGGAAGAAATTTACTGTGATGCTGGTGAGGCACAGGAACAGGCTGCCCAAAGAAGCTGTGGATGTCCCATCCCTGGAAGTGTTCAAGGCCAGGTTGGATGGAGTTTTGCCCTGGTCTTGTGGAAGGTGTCCCTGCCCATGGTAGGTGGTGAGAACTTGATGATACTTAAAGTCCCTTCCAACCCAAAGCATTCTGTGATTCTACAGAATCACAGGGTGAAAGGTTTTCACGCTTTTGGGGCGTCTTTTGACCAGCCTTCTGAAAAACCTTCACTTTTCTTACAACCACACTGTCATGCATCAGACATCCTAAACAATGAACTCAATTTCCAGATCCCGAGTCTAAGTTGTCAGACAATGGAATTTACCAGCTTTTCCACCTCTTGGGTGAAACAAGCCTCATACCAATGGCTAACCCTGCCATCTAGTGGTATTTATACATTTATCACATTTACCACCATGCCATCCCTGTGTTTTCTCAGAACTTTAGACACAGCATCACTTTGTGGTAGCTACACTTTGAAAGGCTTGCAAAAAAATTCTACAGGTATGCTGGATAGCAGTTCTGTTATAAGTATATCCCCTTGGTATAATAAAGTATTTTTTGCTGCCAGTGTCCCAAAATTTTTTTGTGAAAAAAATGCTTCAGAAAACCAAACCTTAAACATAAGCATATAGAGCTGCTTAAATTGGTAAGGATGTGACTTTTTTTTTTTTTTGAGCCTTGCTGGTTGGGATCTTTTCTCTAGAGAGTACTCTGTAGTGGCTGCCTCAGGTATGAGGAAAGGTGACCTGAGCATCATCTTCTCCTCCTATCAGTCATGGTGTCATGCAGCTCCACAGGGCAGAGCAGGGCTCTGAGGGAGAGGAAAGGTGAAGGGAGGGACTGTTCTCTTTTGGCCACTCCCCAGGCCATATCTGGAGCTGCCGTGTACCAGCTGGGTGTGACCACTGGGACCCCATCATGGCCTGGTCAGCACAGGAACATGGAACATGCAGTGCACAGGGTGAGGCTGAAGGAATGAGGGTAGTTTGTTCCGTGTAAAAGGTCCACATTTGCATGTACAGTTATACACATACCTATGCATTTACTGTACCTGTATCTTGGGTGAATTATTGCATATATGATGGGGTTGTAGATTGCAGAAGATTTGGCAATAACTGCTGGCACAGATTTGGCATATGGTGTTAGGATGTTACCTCGACTAAAACAAAGCAAAAACATTACACACAGCTGTGCCATTAATTACATCGATAATACATTACTAAAACATATTATTCTTTTACACTGGTTTTGTGCTATTATCTTTTTATAAGAAATACACCTGTAAAGTTGATTAATTGAAGTGATTTCTTTGCTCAGAGGAAAGGTTTGAATTTGACAATTTGTACTTGGTTTCATTCATTTAGAGAAGATCAAAGACATGCAGCAAGTAATTTTAAGGTGGCTAGGAACACAAAGAATCCTTCCCTGTTTCTGCAATAGAAAAAAAAAAAAACTCCAAAAAACAAAACACCAAAACTCTAACAGAAGAACCCCCTTTGTGGCCATCTGGGAAAAGTGAATGATGATAGAAATCAACGATGATTATAGAAACCAAACCTAAAAAATCTTTCAGCAGCAGTATATGTGCTGCACAGTAATGTGTGTCAGTGCCTCAATTCTGAACACTGCAGAAGGAGGAGAGGACTGGAAGTGGTTTAAAACCAATATTTTCCTTTAGGCATTAAACTCCCACAGTCAGTCAGGTGTGACTGTCAGTCAATGTCAGTGCAGCATAAGCTCGGTTAATATCACGGTATCACAGAATGGTTTGGGTTGGAAGACACCTCAAAGATCATCTAGCCCAACCTCTCTGCCATGGGCAAGGACATCTTTCACTAGGTGAGCTTGCTCAAGGCCCCATCCAACCTGGCCCTGAAGAGCAGAACGTGCATTGACAGCACACCAGTGTTGTGAACAATGGGAGGAGGAGACAGCAGTGTACGGAAGGAAGAAGGGTATTAGGAGATAAAGGAGGGAACTCCTCCAATTTATACAAAGAAAGCATCATGTGGGAGAGAAAACATTGTGTACCAAATATTAAGACTAAAAAGTCATAATAGTTTCAAAATGCATAGACAAATAAGCCCTTTTCTGCTTTATTTACAAGGATATAGTGAAGAATGAATATCACCTCTAATGCAGTAATTATTTAAGACCCATTCAAAAAAGAGATTTGCCTCATATGGATGATAGTACAATCTTATTTGCTTAACTCCTGCTGCTTGGATTCCTCTTCCACTTACCCTGCCCAGGCAATCAAGGTGACACAAGCATATGGAGACCAGGACAAGACAAACACAATGATGACCACAAAAGCAATTTTTGCCAGCTTCCACTCATTCTTAATGGACTGAGAGAGGTAGGATTTCCGGCTGCAGGACCCCAGCTTTTGAACATCTCTGTAAGAGGGGAAAAACACAGATATTTCAGAAGGACAATGACAAGCAATACCTCTAACATGTTCTCAGCAATATGTAAAATGAAGTAAATTTCTTATTTCTCCACTCTAGCTGTTCTTTTCTCCTCTGATATTTAAAAACTCTGGAAAGTAGTTAATGTGGTTACAAGTGTTATGTTTGCCTGTGAGACTGAACCAGAATCCCTGGGCTACAGGACAGGACTGCTGTGTCCTCATCCCTAACACAAGGAGGGTTCCAGGTTGCAAAGATACAGAAATTGGCATCTCTTGCCCTCCATTGCTTTTAGAGATGGAGCAAGAAAAGGCACAGCTGGATGGCAAAATCAAGTCTTATGTCTTTTCCTTTTCGAGGGAGTAGCAGCTTGAAGAAATTCCAATTCAGGAGGTAACACATGCTGGAATACCCTGACAGCTTTGAGAAACCTGTTCCAAACACTTCCAAGGACATTTTTACTTACCTGCAGATTTATTTATTAAAGAGTACTTTCAGTGGGAGGTACAACAGGCAGTCCTAGTATTTTTGTAATGAAAAATCAAAATCTCTTCTCACACCAAACATGTCACATTTTATTTTAAAAACTTTTACATAGTTAGGCATTTTATATTCTTTAGCATAGAAATAACAAATTTTACATATTAGTGTTGCTAAATGGAGCTAAATTTCAGGCTGAAGACATTAACTACCAGCCAGGAGGGTAACAAAGTCCCTACTGGTGCACTGTAAATATAGAACGGAATCAAAGAAACATAGAATGGCCTGGGTTGGAAGGGAACCTAAAAATCATCTAGTTCCAACATGCCTGCCATGACCAGGGACACCTTCAGCTAGACCAGGGTGCTCAAAGCTCCATCCAGCCTGGCCTTGCAAAAGGCATAGAAAAAGTTTATGTCCACTGTGCTCCACGGGTGTACAAGGCATCATTATTTTAAGGATGCATTTCTTCTCTTGCTATCAAGTATACATACACAAAGCACAATAAAAACCAAGACAGTGGCAAAATAATAGTGTTCAGAAAGAACTTCATTTTAGGTGTATATAAATGTACTTTTAAAGGTGGAATTTAGGCTTTTGAAGCCTGATGATGTCAACAAGTGCCTGCACACAGGAGCAGAGAAAAGCCATCAGAACTGATGACACAGTTGAGCAGCAGGAAGGACTCGCAGCACCAGCTGGTGTTGGATCGGACCAAAACCATGTGCTCGTTACCAGAAAAATAACGGATAGAATGATGTTAGTTTACAGATCTAACACCCTGCTGATTTTCATTTCAAATACAGGCCAAAAAATTTTTGGGGAAAAAACCTATGAGCAAGCATAGCCAAATATTGTGCATGTAGTTGTGATGCTTGAGGGAAGCACGATGGTTTTTGGGATGTTTGCCTTAAATAAAACTGTCAAAAAATATGAGGACTGCTTTGTTTACAGAGCTGCTCAAAGGCAGATGATTCCCCCATTGCTACATGTTTTTTATTATCCCTTGAGGCTGAAAACTGCTGGAATACATAAGGACATTGTTTCTTGTAGTACAAATCTGAAATACTAATAACTCAATCCAAGTATCTGACATACTATTAATTACTACAGTGGAATAAGATTAGAACCACCAGAGACAACTTCTACTCTGAAATTCATACATCCATTCCAGTTTTAAATTGGCAAAAAATAGTTCTCCTGTTACAGCTGTCAGTTTCAATTCAGACTAATTTTTGATGCAGATTTTTCTGCAGCTAAAGAAACTGAGAAAATATTCTGTTACACAAAAAGGGATATGGACTTCTTTCAGCTAGATTGCTTACCTGCCAGTACGCCTTATGGCCAGGAACATCGATAAATAGCAGTGGAATATTATTACCAGGGGGATAAAAAACACACAGCAGCATAAAATCATGGTGTAGCTTCTGTTTGCAGGGGAGTAGGTTACATAGTCCCATGTGCAGGATATCATCAAGCCCTCAGGCACATAGGAACCTATGGAATACATGGAACACGTTATTCACACATGCACCCAAAGTTAGGGCAGGTGCTGATCCAGCCACTAAACACCTAAAATAAACTCTGTCCTGTATCCATGGTCTTCAAGAGCTGTGTCAGCCAAACTACACATCATACATGTGGTCTGTGAAGTGAGTGCCCATGTGGAGAGGAGGTCCTGACTACAGATCTCTCAGGTACACACCTAATACTCCATCTGTTGGTTGATGTGTTGCTTTAACACATGCTGGGTGTAGGGGGGCAGAGGGTTTGTGCAGTGCAGTCGGTGCAGATGTGTGCTACAACCACAACCATTGCGTGGTGGCAGGGCATCCTCATGAGCACTGATAAGAAAACTGTGTTTTACACCCCAAGCAAGACTAAAAAGAGCACACAGGGAATGCTAGGAGAGAGAGAGAGCAGACAACATACTCCAGCCGAGGAGCGGAGCCATGCTCCATCCCAGTGAGTAGAGCCACACGGCGGCGATGATCTGCATGGTGCGTCTCTTGGAAGTCCACTGGATGGACTGCAGGGGCTTTGTGATCACCAGGTAGCGGTCAACAGAGATGGCCAACAGAGTCATCATCGAAGTTATCCCAAAGAGAGCCCCACAGAAAGCATACAAGTTACAGCCTGGAGAAGGAAATGGCAACATCAGGGGCTTTCCTGAAAAGAGGCATGCTTTCTCTCGGAGCTCATCGTAATAAATCTCCCTGGTTTTTTCTGAGGTCTTCTCTCTCAATAGAAGTACTTTCTTAGCTTCACACTTTCATAGTTATTAAGTGCTTATTAGAAAAGCATAAATATAAATAAAATACAAATATATGTATTTAAACAAGTCCTACTTCACTGCAAATGGGAGTGTTTTGTCAATGGAAAACTGCCTCAAAGAAAATCCAATCTAATTAAAGTTATATTTTCCTGGACTGCTGCCCAATAAATTGATCTTAACATGCTGCAGCAGACATCTGTCTGTTAATGATGGATGGGTGGTTCAAGAAATGACTTTGGTTTATGTGGCTTAAAAATGCAGAAATGGTTTAGATTTGGTGACTAAGAGACCAACTGTAAAACATAGCTCCAACTCCTATATTTAATGGCAGTACTTTTTAAAAGAACTGACATTTTTTACATGAAACAGATCTCTTAACCCCCTCTGCATTCAGGCAGTGCAGTACCAGATGGAAAAAGTTACACTGAATTTAATGGAGCAACCTGTGTGGAAAGATCATCCATTTTTTGAAATCTTGCATTGCCCCATGTGGTTATAGACAAGAGCCCACCAGGAATGACAGGCAGCAAAAACACCAGATCCATCCTTAAAGCAGAATTCTAAAGTCTATACAAGTAACTTGCAACCAAGGACCAAATCCTACTCGACCCAGATCAAATTCTTCATTTGTGACAGCATGGTAATTTGCACTGATTTTATCTAAGGGGATAAGGAAGACTAAAAATATGTTCAAACTAAGGCAGAGTCCCTCTGTGCTGCTGAACAGTACACGGTCTCTGGGTTTGCTCCACCATTGTACAGCCACCAGTGGGTGCAAGTTTTCATCCATAATATGATGAGGAGCACCAACCATCATTGAGCCTTCTGAGGTTCTTGCTATACTCACATTTCAGCCTTAATTTCAGCATAGATCTTTTCTTTCTTGCAGTTGGAAAGAAAGAGGCTTGAACTTGCTAAATCTTCAAACTCATTATTGTTATTTAAATCTTTTAATTAAATATGAGATTCCTAGAAGTGTGCCAATGTATATCAACATACATTTCTAAATAAAAGTATTAACTAAAAGAAAAAACTATTTACAACTTACTGAAACTTTTCTACCTATTTTCAGCAATAACACCTCCCTTACAAGCTAAAGGGTGACATGATTACATGTGGATCTTGACTCCTTCCTTTCCAAAATATGTAAGATAAAAGAATCACAGCTGTAATACAAAACATGTGACACCACGCTGACTAACGACGTCTGGGGCTGTGACTCAAGAGACTTGTGCTGCTCTAGCCATGTCACAAGCCAAGGCTGTTGTGGCTGAAACAGGGTGCAGGCAGCGTAAAGCTGGCAAGGTGTGAATTAGTGGTGAAAAGTACCTATGTCTCCAAGTATCCATTCTCTGTGCAAGCTGTTGACAAAGCATATGGGTGCCTGAGAAGCCGACATCAGGAAGTCACTCACAGCTAAATTCATTATAAAGTAGTTTTGGGAAGTCCTCAGCTTCTTGTTGCTTAAAAACATGAGAAATACATAGTTTTAAAAAGACAAAGTGGAAAGTTAACTTTATAACTTTGCTTACTAGCATAAATAAATACTGTCCAGGTTGAAATCGATGGTTACTCACAGTGAATCAATTGCTAATCATCAGTCAATTACCGCAGCTACAGCTGCAGTCATTTCAAAATGATTGAAAAGACCAGGAGCCATAAAATAGATTGTTTCCTCTTCAAGCTAAGGAGAGTTTCAGCTGTCTTGATAAATATGGATTTGTTCAAAAGAGCAGTTCCCCAGGAGTGCTGTGATATTGATTGTGCCTTGCACTGCACATGAGGAAGATCTGAAGAAAGTTACAGAGCCAAAGGATCAGCTTCTGGTGATACTTTAAAAACTGCTGACCTGAGGTGGTGTGTTGACACAGTTGGCCTGAAGTGGTTGACACACCACTAGCTAAGTGACCTTTTGCAAAGTGCTACAGCATAAGCAGAGCCCACACAGAGATTTGGAGAAAGTGCTTTTGCTTATACACATATCATAACAGAGAATGAAACCTATCAGTTGCAGATGAGCAGGCAACATTAAACACCACAACAAGGAGTGTGAAAGCAGAGGTCTGCAAGCAAAGCTTATCCAAGGAAAACAACTGAGACATTTCTGATGTGCTTTGCAATATCAATATTTGCAGCTAACATGAATTTCTTTCCTCATGCTGATAAATACTGAAAAAGAAAGTGAGAAAGAACATCTCAGTGCTGCTGCAATTCTAATAAATCCTTGGTTCTCATAACTGTCAGCAAAAACAAGGTAAGAGAGAGTGCAGAGTTCATAGATTCCCAGGTGCTAATCTGCCCATGCAGATATTCCTACTTTGACAATGTAATGCTTTTATTACACCAGCTAAACCACACACATTTCAAGACAAATACAGAGCTTGTATTTAATTTTAAAAAGTCATGAAGGTATCTACAGTTGCGGGGAATTAATTTTCTCTAAATCATATTAGAAGCTGATTATTCAAAATAACCAATTTATTTGTCTTAACCATTTAAGAATAGGAAACTAATGCCTGGTTCATAACCCCACTCTAGCATTGTAAGGCCTTGCTGCATCACCGTGCATAATGACAGCAAGTAGTGAATGCAGAGGATTTTGAAATCCATCGTCACATTGTGGGACAGAGGGCAGATGTTTCTTTTTTCCATGAGATTTTTTGCATACTCTCGCTGCAGTAGCTTTGGCTGCCTATTACTCTGCCAAGAGAGCACAAAAACTGACAGAAATCCTATGATCTGCCTGAAGCAGGAAATACACTGGTGGCATGAGCTCATTTCATGTAGCAGATTGCCTTCTTGGTCCTTTCAGGACCACTGGGCTCCTGGGAAGAGTGTCACTGTTTGTCAAACATTTGTGCAAATACTACAGGGTAAGTGAAGAAGTCTGCAGCTGCAAGACTGTGGTTTCTATCATTAGAAGTGTTAAACCATTCTTTAAACTTTCAATTGGAAATTGTTTATAGAACAAGGTATTATTTTCTCATTTTGGTTCTTTAAATCATCAGGAATTTACACTGAGGTTGTCAGTGATGCACATGGATGTGTTTTCATCCGTGTAGGGTTGCCTTCTCCTCTCTTTCCCCCCACATTTGTTGCCATTAGATTTAATCCAAGTGGAAAGCAGTGCAGAAATCTGCACATGGGCACAGGTGAAACTCAGATCAACCACAAAAGGAATTTTTGTACCTGTAAAATGCGTAGAGGACTAGGAGGTTTCCGATGATGCCAATGGAGCCAATAATGAGCACACACGTTCCTACGGTGTAAAGAACATGGCTAGGGATCTCTGCCTTGGTCAAAGTATGTGCCTGGGTACTCATGTTCAAACCCTGAATGGAAAACAGAGGAAAAGGAAAGGTTAGCCCATTTGGGACCCTTAGTCCATGGAACACATTCTCAGGCTGTTGGCATTCACTTCCACAGCTTGTGCAAATGAAATACACGCTTCTGAGTTCTTTTCACATCCCCTGTAATCAAGTTTCCCTCAGGTAACTTTCGTAATTTTGACAGCAGATATTTATCTCAAGAAAAGAGCAACAGAGAAAGCAGACTGGAAAAGACAACTAAGGAAGTTATGATGGTGATGTGAAAAAGGCAAAGAAACATGAGCATAAAACTCATTCTGGGTAACTGCTGCACTCTGGGGCACAGAGCTGGCTGACAACACAGACTGACAGCAAGAAATAATTGTCACAGTTTGGTTTTTTCAGGAACAATGATATAAAATTCCACACTTACAAACATTAAATCCCCTGGGTTTCCCCAGGTTCACTGTACACTAACTCAGTGCTACAAAACCTGGGAATTCTCCATGCAAAAGAGAGGAGATGAGAGGTATAATAGCAGCACTAGCACTGCTTGTGTAAGAAAACATACATTAAATAGTCTTGACACCTCTTTCACTGCCTTGTATCTTCAGCACATGAATAGCTTCCCTCTGTAATTTTTTTTAAATCAAATTCAGATTTATCACTGGCTACATTCAGCAGCAATGCAGCCTACAGCTAATTCACTCAGTTCACATTAGCATTAGCAATGAGAAGAGTCCAAATTGACTTGTGGAGATTCTTATTTACCAAGTCACAAGCAGCTATGCCTCACACTCACAATCAGACCTGGAGAGCTGAGTCAAAGGTGTGACACCTTCCCACAGCTGGGCACCTGCATCACTTCATCCCTTCTCCACTGCACAGCAGAGCAATGTGTGGAGTGTGTGATAAGGCCGATTTTGACCTGTGAAAGAGGAGCTGGGTGACAGAACAGGTTAATATAACTGTGTGATGATAACCACTTGTAGTATTTAAGCAGCCATTTTAAAAATGATGAGCACACCCTTTCTTTCCTGTAGCTGCCTCCTAATCTCCTATACTGCTGCTTCTCCTTTCTGCCTTGTATTCCTCACTCATCTGTGAAGTGCACACAGTACAGCTCCCTCCCTGTACAACAGTCCTAGCTGAGGGCATTATCCCCCCAGCTCTGCAACCCTCCTGGGGCATGCCCTGGGGAGGCTGCCTTTGGCAATAGGGAGGGCATGGTGAAGTGCACTGCATACCCAGAGCATCCACACAGCAGCAGGTCTGGGGCAGAAATGCTGACAGCAAAGCTCCCCAGACTGAAGTGATGTAGTAAAAAGTACAAAAGCTATGGCTTCGAAGCAGGAAGGTGCTTTCAAGCCTTCTCAGTCATCTGACAGACGCTACCCTTGACAGGATGGCTACTGCCTATATGGCACTTCACCACACAGAGATCACATCACTGAAAAAGTAGGAAGAAATGGAAGAGAGCATCTGCTGGTGCTGGTTGCACCAGGGGGGCATGACTGCTATTGCCAGTGCTTAGGCAGCAACAAAAAATGCCACCATGTGTCGGATTTACCCTTGAGAAAGGTGTGAGAGGTAGTGTAAGAGCAGGCAGAGCACAGTGAGGTGGCCCAGCAGAGAAAGCAGTCACAGCGGTTTGGTGGCACCAGGCAGAGCCAGCACTGTGCTCTCAGAGCAAGGCTGCCTGGGCATGCAAGTTAAGCATGGTAATGCCTCTCCTTCTCTCTCAAACCCAATAATCTCTGCAGTGTGTGTGCACTGAATTGTAACCCTGCCACATTTCTGGCAATACATGCCAAAGAAGCTAAGCTGGGGAGAAAGGAAAAGGCTCCATTTTTTCCTTCCTTTCCAGCTTATCTGTTAGGCATGCCAAGGATTTGCTTCTACCTAGAGGTTTATTATATAGAGGGCTATTAAAGAAATGTAATTCAGGGCAAGCAGAACTTGCCTGTCATATGATTTATGTTTTACTTCAACATATGGCAATTCACTGTTGCAGAAATTCATTTGAGAAATGGACTATGAATTTCACACCCAAAGGTGTCTCACCTTATCTCTGTGCTAAAGAGAAGCTGACTTGAACATTTTGGCCTCATTTACTCATTTGTGGGTGTTGAGCTGCGTCAGAAGCTGAAAAATATCTCACATGACACATTTGTTAACTCAGCTTACAGTTTGCTGGCAATACTGGATGAAATATAAACTATTGATGCTTTCAGAGTGGAATCTGGAAAGCAATAAATAGTAGGGATTACACAGAGCCTTCCATCTCAGTGAGAAGTTAAAGCGAGGGATGTTTAGATTACACAGGCTTGGATCTTGCCTCCAGGGGAGTCCATGAAATACCATGGCCACTTCTGCTCCAATGTTAACAGCAGTCAGATAACTTTCAGATCTGAATGGAAAGACAGCTACTCATTCCCTCTGCTGGTGTTACCCTGAGAGAGCAGGATGTGGCAGGCATCCAAGCTGAATGAAATAGGGCAAGCTGACAAAGACTGAGAGCCATTTGTAACACTGTCCTTTGAGTCTGAGAGGAAAAATGTGCAAATCTATGTGTGTGTATGTAGATATATTTCAACAGAAAACCTCAACTTGGATGAAAAACAATTTCACTAAACTGGTGGAAAATTTCTAAATAATACAGGCTAAACCAGTACAAATAGATGTAGGCTAATCAAGGAGAATATATACCTCATTTTACTCACATAATGTATTTCACCAATTTGGCATATTTTCACAATAGAAAAATTTAAATTTAAAGATACAAATACTCTTAAGGTTAAGAATTAAAAATCCACTATGGTGAACAAATGCTGCTTTTCTAATACCGACCCATCTTCCATACAGCATAACCTCCAGCTGGACGCAAGTAGCACTATGACTAAGGTTTAAGGATATTAATTAAATTTAGGCTTTTTCTCTTTTCTTACAGTGTCAACTCTGAGAAACTGGCCTTTTAGCAGTTTTAATTAACAAGATAAATATTTGTCAATATAAATATTTTACCATATAAAGATGAGAGCTAGAAATATAAAAAAGAAATTACAAGCTTCGGGATGAGCTTTAAGGAGAAGTTGGTTTTTGCATATCTTCTCAAAAGCTATTACTACTCTATGCATTTCTTTTTTGTACTTTTAGTTTTCCACAACTAGTAAGAATAAAATGAAATTATAGGAGAATATCCCAGGCTACTATATGTGTTTTAACCCAAGAAAACTCAAATAACTATTACAAATCGTTCCAGATAACTTGGTAAGCAGGATGGCAGCTACACACAGCAGGTTGCATTCACTACAGACACTGATGAGTCTTACTGTGTTATGTCCATATTGGCCTCTCTTAGCACCAAAATTATGTATCAAATGGTCAATGACAGCTGCCATGAATCAGCAAAAAATTAGTTTGTACTGTAGGGAAAGTCCTGCCTTTTAGGTTTGGTAAAGCACAGATTTTGTATCGATCTCATGTCACCAAGATATACTGTGCAATACTTTGACTTTATACTTTAGCCTGATCACTTCTATTTTATTAACTCCAAATTTAGACCTCTTTGAGAATGCAACTGAAAAAAAACTTAAAAAAATTAAAAGATGCGTTGGGAGAAGTTCTCTTTCAGCTGTTTCACACTGTTATGGTGATGTACAGCCGACCTGGGTTCAACACACCTATCTCAACTGTATTTATGGATGCTCAGTATCATCACAGCCTTGCAATGTAGAGTGAAAAGCCTGTTCTGTATAAGACTTAGTCTTGCTCCTTCTCTTTAAGGATGTGATTTACATAATGATAATTATGTTAATTATTCCATTAACATTCAATTTGACTGAATTAATATACTGAATATTTAATGGGTGAACCAAGTTTTCAAGTGCTTACTTGAAATGAATTCACTGGTCCATTTATCCCCCAGACTCGCTTTGCCTCCCTCCATATTTTGGTCCTGGAACAGGATCCTGAGCACTCAGCTGAAGACACATCCATTTCCTGAGTGAGCATTTCAAAGGCACCATCCAGAATGACCTGACTGTTTAGGTCAAGAATCCAAATGTAAACAAGCAGCCCATGAAGATGCCAGCAATTGCACCAGGGCCAGCTTCTGGCATACTTGCCAAGCCTGTGCTCGCTCTGTTTGACTCCTTCTGAATTAATGCTACAATATTTTTTATTTTGACTCTATGAGCTGTTGGAGGACCTGATAACTCACATAAATTATGATGTGGCCTGACCCTTATATATGGAGTGACTACAACATCAAAACACTGTCACCTACATGGCTGCTTGGAGGGCTTTCCTGGCAGTGTAGCTAACAGGTCTTCAGGCAAATGGACAGTGAACAATTAACAGTTGTCCCTCAACTATCTGGCAAAAGAAGCAGGCACCAGATAGAAAAATAAACTTTCTCCCATATTTCTCCCAAAATAAAGATGCAAAACATGAAACAGACGAGGAAAGTCATTCTAGGAAAGCTTTTGTAATTTGATTTTTAGTGATAAAATGATGGCTAAATAATTACAGCTGTCTGTTTCTGCTTTTCAGATGCTAAGATGAATAAAGAAGACAAGATTAATTATACGCAGAAAAAAAAAATTGTTGTTAAAAAAGGAGGGCATGAGCAGGTCCCCCTCAATGGGTAGGGGTAGAAAATTGACTGAAATGTTTGTATGATTGGCATTAGGTGGATGTAAGATTATCCAAAGCTTTATTCACCCTCTGGTTTTGCTCATGGGTGCAAGCTCATCTTGTGGAAATGATTTACACTGAAATGAGCTTAAGGAAAGGCTTGCTTACATGGGGGATTAATGTGCACTAACAAGGGAATAAATTAACAACATAGCAGCCTCCCTGTGTTGAACTGCTCCGTGGATTCACAACACAGAAGTTTGATTTGCTCTTCAAAATCTTGTCTATGCTGTTACACCTGAAAATTTTAAAGAAAAATACCAAACAATGTAAGGTATGTTAGCTGAGATGGGAGAAATCTGAGCGTGCTAGCTAGCAGATAGTAC